ATAGAACAACCAGAAAACCAAAAAGTGACAGTAGTAAAGCCTTATATATCAATCACCCTTAATGTAAATTCACCAAAGGGACAGTGTGGCTGATTGAATTTAAAAATAGCTCCCAGTGCTGGGAAAACTGGACCACCACATGCAAAAAAAAAAAAAAGTGAAACTAGACCACTACCTCTCACCGTGCACAAAAATCAACTCAAAATGGATAAAAGAACTGGACATAAGACCTGAAACCATAAAATATATATAGAAAAATATAGGGAAAACACTACAAGACATACATCTCAGAAACATCTTTAAAGACTCATCAACCAAAGCAGTGATAGTGAAGGCAAAGATAAACACCTGGGATTACATCAAACTGAAAAGCTCCTGTACAGCAAGAGACATTAACCAAAACAGAGAGACACCCCACTGATTGGGAAAAAAAAATCTTTGCACTCCATTCAACTGATAAGGGACTGATCACAAAGATTTAAAAAGAACTCACATGGCTCAACAAAAACAAACAATCCAGTCAAGAAATGGGCAGAAGAACTTAAAAGGCATTTCTCCAAAGAAATGCAAATGGCCAACAGGCATATGAAAACATGTTCAACATCCCTTATAATCAGAGAAATGCAACTTAAAACCACATTGAGATACCACCTTACACCAGTAAGAATGGCACCTATCAAAAAAACAAGCAACAACAAATGTTGGTGAGGATGTGGTGAAAAAGGAAGACTCCTACATTGCTGGTGTGAGTGCAAACTGGTCCAACCACTACGGAAAACTGTCTGGAGTTTCCTCAGTCTACTTAAAATGGAGTTACCATACAATCCAGCAATTCCACTCCTAGGGATCTACCCAAAGGACACAAAAACAATGATTCAAAAAGAACACCTGTACACCTATGTTTACTGCAGCACTATTTACAATAGGTAAAACCTGGAAACAACCCAAATGCCCCAAAATAAATGACTGGATCAAGAAGATGTGGCATATATACACAATGGAATATTATTCAGCAATCAAAAAAGATAAACTCATCATGCCATTCGCAGCAATGTGGATGGAACTAGAAGGAATGATGCTCAGTGAAATAAGCCAGAAGGAGAAAAAAAAATATTGGATGGTTTCACTTATAACATGAATATAGAGAAACCAAATAAGACATCAGTGTAAAAAAAATAACAGTAACAAACAACAAGCAAAAACAGACAATTATAATCAGGGACATACTATAGGGAGGAGGAGAGAGAGGGATCAGAGGGAGGGAGGGAGGAGCACAGCAGACTGTGGTGATGGTGCACAGGTGCCTTGGGGAAGGAAATTCTATGAGGACTCAATCTGAGGGGGTGGGGGGGAGCAAATATTGTTTAAAAAATAAAAATAAATAATTCTTTTTAAAAATTTTAAAAAATAGCACCCTGTCCTCCCCGGTGGTGCAGCAGGTAGAGTGCAGCACCGTGAAGCTGTTTGCAGCCTCTGCAGCGCCAGTTTGATTCCCGGCCAGCCAGGGAGATTCCCACATGTTATGGCAGACCTCTCCTGCCTCCCCCGCTCCTCCCCTCAGCAGTGTCTTCAGTCCTTCTGCCTTTTCTGCTCCCTGCTCAGTCTCTGCTGAATTCTCTCGCCCTCCCTCGCCTCTGGCCTGTACCCCATTCTTGTATAAATAAATAAATCTTTAAAAAAAATTAAAATAGCACCAAACTATATGTTGCTTATAGGAAACTCATCTGTTTTAATACAAACAGATTCATGAAAGGATGGAGAAAGATATATCAAGTGAATGGTGAAAAAAAAAAGATTGGAACAGTTATATCAAATAAAATAGACTTTCAGCAAAAAAGGTAATAAGAGACTCCAAAATAGGGTACACATATAAACTCACACATGGTCATTTTATTTTTTCCAAAGTTGCTCAGTGCAATTCAGTGAAGAAAAGTTTCTTTCACAATAAATGGTGCTAGAACTATTTGATACCCACATGGCGGGGACAGGGGTGGAAATGAACCTTGACTCTTCCTTCACCCTATACAGAAACACTGAATTGAGGTGAAATACAGTGAAAGATACAACAATATATTTTCTAAAAAGAAACATAGGAGAATATCTTCATGATCTTTACGACTACCAACTGTAAAGGAAAATATTAATAAACTGGACTTCATTATAAACCATCACTTCAGTTTGTCAAAGATACCACTGAGATAAGAAACAACAAGCCATATATAAGAAGAAGATATGTCAATACTGTAAATGTGATAAATTCAAAAAATAAATGAATAACTCTTAAACTCAGTAAGAAAAGACATCCCAATAAAAAGTGGGCAAAAGAGTTAAACAGGAGCATCACAAAAGAGAATTACAGAAAAGATGCTCATCATTACTAATCAGAGAATACAAATTAAGACATCACCACACACTCACTGGAAGGGCTAAAATGAAGATACCAAGTGTTTGTAAGGATGGAAAGTGTTTGTAAGGATGGAAAGCAACTGAAGCTCTGATACATTGCTGGTGGGAGTGTAAGTCAGTACAACCACTTTGGGCAAGTATCTACTAAAACCAAACATACTTCTAACCTAGCAATAACTCAGCAGTCCTATTCAAAGATATATACTCAGGTGAAATGAATACCTCTCTTTAACAAAATATTATAAGAATGTTCCAGACTGCTCTATTCATAACAGATAAAAGATTTGAAACCAACCCTAGTCGTTAAATAAATTGTGGTGTATTCATACACTGGAATACTACAAAGTATTGATAATAAAAGATATGCACTTTGGGCACATGCAAACATCTAAATGACTATCACAGACATTTTCATGCGCAAAAGAAGTCAGGCACACAGGAATGTTACATATAGATTCATTTTTTAAAAATAGCTTTATTGAGATATAATTCACATGCCATACAAACAACATATTGAAGTGTATAATTAAGTGGATTTTAGTATAGTCACAGATATGTGCAACCTCCATCAACAATCAATTTCAGAACATTTCATCCATCACTTCAAAATGAAACCCCATACCCTTTACCTATAATACCCTCTATGCCCAAATTCCCCCCAGGAACCCTAAACAACATTAATCTACTTTGTGTTGCTATAGATTTGAATATTTTGGGCATTTCAAGCAATGGCACCATATATATGGACTTGTATGTTTTCAAGGTTCATCCATGTTGTAGCATGTATCAGTCCCTCATTCCTTTTTATGGTTAAATAATATTCCATTGTATGTCTGTGCCATGTTTTGTTTATCCATTCATCAATCGATAGACATTTGAGTTATTTCCATCTTTTAGCTTTTGTAAATATGCTATTGTAAACATTTGTGAATAACTTTTTGTCTGGCTATGTATTTTTATTTCTCTTGGATATATATCTAGGTTGTATGATAACTATGTTCAGTGATTTGAAGAGCTGACAGACTTTTCCAAAGCTATTGCACTATTTTGTATTGTCACTAGTAGTGTATGGGACTTGTGATTTTTCAACCTCAATGCAAGCATGTCTGTTATCTGACTTTTTTATTCTAGTCATTCTACTATAGTCAGTGAGAAAGGACTCAGAAAAGAAGTGAAATTTGAGTCTGGTTGCCAACTTAATTCAAAGTTGAAGTGTAGAAAGTTTTTGAAATTCATCACAAATAATGTATCAATTAAAATGTATCTACCAATTTTTTTTTTTAAGTAAAAAATAGGGTGGAAGGCAGGAAGGGTCACCGTCACAATTTGGCCTCTCCCTCAATTTTTACTCTCTCGCCCCCTTGTGGCTCCCTGATTGGTGCTTGCACAAGGGACTCTGCACTGAGATTTTCTAATTCCAGGGATAAGTTAGAGTCACCCTTACCACTGCCAGAAAGAGTGATTTGTTCCTTTGTTCTTTTTTTAAGCTCCCAGTTTGTCATCACACTCTATGTTGTGTGAGCTTTTATGTCTGAATCTCAGTTAAACCCCCAGAAAATACTGGACACTTGTATTACTGTGTACCCCCACATTACAATAGTGATTTGTCATGTACTCTCATTTGGAATAAACATGATCAGTACCTCTCCACTAACTCTATTAATACAATCACAGATAACTCTGCTAAAAATCAACAGCAGAGGAAATACCAAGAAGAGGTCATCAGAACATCGAGGTTCTTTTTGTTTTCGTTGATTAAACTTTTATTTTCTTACATTTTTGTACAATACTTGATTTATCCCCTTAGGTGTAATTCCCATAATTCTTTCACCACCACACCACCTGTGAACCATAACAGTTCCTTGGGCTCTTCCCTCCTCTCTTTTGACCCTCTCCCTACCCTTCCCTTGCTGTATGCCTCAGATCTATAGTTTGCCTGCAAGTTTTCTCCTTTTTTTGACACTTTGTTTGGTTTCCTTATATTCCTCCCATAGGTGGAACCATCCAGTATTTTTTTCCTTCAGACTTATTTCACTGAGCATAATCCCTTGAAGCTCCATCCATGTTGCTGCAAATGGCATGAGTTTATTTTTTATTGCTGTATAGTATCCCATTGTGTATATATGCTACATATTCTTGATCCAGTCATCTGTTTTGGGGAATTTAGGTTGTTTCCATATCTTAGCTATTGTAAATAGTGCTGCAATAAACATAGAAGTGCAGGTGTCCTTTTGAATTAATGTATTCTGTCTTTTGGGTCGATTCCTAGGAATGGAATCTCTGGGTCATATGGTAGACCCATTTTCAGTAATTTGATGAATATCCACACAGAAGAGAGATTCTTTGTAGTGAAGTAAACCATATATTCTTTCTTATACATCAAAAACTGAATTGTGTATAAACTAACACCAAATATTTGTTACAAGTTTTGACAATAATTTTGACCATGATTATTTTGACTCTCACTAATACCCAGTATTGAAATGTAAAATAAATGTTGAACTTAAATATATTAAATTCCATTAATATTGTAAATATTCTCAAATATTAGTCATTAATAGAGAATGCTGCAAATTTTTTTTCCTCTTTCTTAGGGGACTTCTCAAATGATCCATCTGAGACATTGCTTCTGCTGTATGAATTTGAAGTTAAAGCCAAAATGAATGATCCATTACTGGACAGCTTCATGGAACCAGTGTGGGAACTGCCTCATTTAGAAAGTAAAACTTTTGAAACAATTGCATGTAAGAGCTATATTTATGTTTTGGGAAGGCTAGTACCCATTTAGATCTTACTACTTTTTCATTATTCTCTCTGTTCTTTCTTACTTACAGGTAGGAAACAATATTTCTTTATAACACTCTGTTTCTCCCTCTCTAATGGCAATCTATTTTACTATTTCATATTAAAATCATTTGTGTATTTTTCTTTTTCTTTATATGAGATTATAAGCGCCTTATGGTCCTGAACAATAATATACTTATATTTACTGAATTTATAAACCCTGGAAAGGTCATTGCTCATAAGGTATGCATATTTATTGTATGTTTGGAACCGAACTGTATAACTACACATTAGGGGTAACTCAAACTTCAGTCACTTTTGCTCAGCCAAATGCAAATGATAATTGCTTCACTAATCAAAGATGATATAAAAAAATCAAAGATGATATAATCTTAGCAATTTATTGAAGTGTACAGAGAAATATTGGTAATAATTTTTTTAACACAGTTGACACCCTCAAGGATACACTGCAGGAAATGGCCTAATTATCTTCCCTTTTTATCTCTCACCCTCCTCAGGAGCATGTATGTGGTTAATACAAGGGCAGTAGGTAACCCCAAGTGCACAAGAGTCACATATGCCTTTCCTTGTCTTGCCAAGGCAGGATTCCTAGAGACATGGAGCAGGTGGTATATACTTATGGACTTGCAGTGGCAACCACTGTTGCTTATATAATGGCACTCTAATTCTAGAGGTGTGGTAAATATATCTGGAAATTTTTAGAGTTTATTACTGTGATACTTATTCTCATATCAAGTGTTTTCTGTTTTTAGTATATGACAAAAACAGTAGATTGTACCATAAATCTCTTTTTGATTAGTACACCTTTACTGATCTGTTGTTCCTTTTTGACATGCCCATCTTTATCTCTCTGGCTCATAATATATTGCTTTCCCTATAGGACTAAGTGGCAAGGTCACAGAAACAGTAAGTTCTTTGCATGTTTGCTGAGGAAATGATGTAACCTGAGGTTGTGCCATGTTACTCCACCCAGAAAGTAGAGTCTATCTCTAAAAGCCACCGTAGACTCATCATTTTATAAAATAATTTTGGTTTTTGTTAGTCTGTTTCAGGCCAATCTCTTTAGTGAAAACAAGTTGTAGCCTGGAATGAAAACTATAATATATGAGATTATTGTGTTCACCATCTTTTTTCTTCTTCACTTCCTATAGTATTAGCAATGGAAATGCCTGCACACTATCCTTCCATCGCTGTAAAGGCCTTGAAAAAGGCTTTATTGCTCCATAAAAAGAAAGAATCAATTGATGTTTTGAAGTACAGGTTGGTAGATATAATTGCACACCTAATGTAGGCTACAGTCAGAGCCCCATAAGTCATCAATCTTACTCAACTAGCCCAACTTAAGAGATGATCAGGGGTGCACCTATACCTCCTGGACATAAAAAGCCCTCAGAACTATTTTGAGAGTTGCTATAGATCAAGAATAACTTAGCAAGTTCAAGAGTCTGGTTTCCCAAAGGAGAAAAAGGTAAAGTTTCTTCTTTTTGTGAGTCTGCTTATGTAATAAAATTACTAAATAACTCTCTTTCTTTCTTCCATTACTAAATATGCCAAATGTGCAAAAAAAAAAAAAAGAGATGAATTAAAACACACCAACATTTCTGCCACCCAAATTTAACAAATATCTACATTTTGCTCTATTTGTCTCAGATATTTTTTCTAAGAACCTTCTTTAAGGATCAATAAATTCTGCACATTTTATATTATTTATTGGGGATTTTATGTTTTCTGTAAACATGGGGGAAATAGATGTATGATTTTTCTCTGGAAAATTTTGTTATAGTCTTTCTGGAATTATTCCCAACTTAAATACAAATTCCCTTGCCCATTTTGAGGATGTAACAAAATTCTTTTAAGTGCCTGTAGAGGGGCCTCCCCTGATGGCGCAGGTGGTTGAGCACAGCGCTATGAAGCTGTCCGCAGCCTGTGCAGCATGGATTCGATCCCAGCTGGCTGGTGAGGATCCCACATGGCGTGGCAGACCTCTCCTGTCTCGCCCGCTGCTCCCCTCTGCAGTGTATTTTGGTCCTTCTGCCTGTTCTGCTCCCCGCTCTGCTCTGGTGAATTCTCTCACCCTCCCGCACATCTGGCCTGTACCCAGGTTCTTGTATGCATGAATAAATAAATCTTTAAAAAATAAAGTGCCTGTAGATTGAATGAATTCATAAAATACAGTAAACGGCCACAACTCCTTAGTGCAGGAAATTAAAAATAAAGAGAAAGACAACACAGGCATAAAATAGGAAGAATTGGTCATCCCCTTTCATAATTTCAAAAATCTGTCTTCTAAGGTTGGAGGCCAGATAAAATTGAGGAAAGAAGTGTTTTTAAAGCTCTTAGGCCAGAGACATCCTGCAGGGGAGGAGGAGGAGAGGGATCAGAGGGAGGTAGGGAAGAGCAAAGAGGATTGAGGTGATAGTGCACAGGTGCAGTGGTGAGGGAAATTCTAAGGGGACTATACCTGAGGGGGGGATGCAAATATTGTTTAAAAATGAACTATGATGTAAAAAAAAAAAAAGTAAAAGAATCATAAAAAAAATAAAACTCTTAGAGATGAGATATAGATTATACTTAACCATGATGCCAATATTTTTTTTTCCTTTTGGGATAATTTTTCTGTTTTTGATTTTCAGCAAATGTATTCACCACTTGATTAACCTCTTAATGCCAAATGGGGCATGGACTACAGAACTCTGTCCCTTGGAAGAAGTTTGGGGATATTTTGAAGACGCTCTGAATCTTATTAGCCATACCGTAAGTCAAATAGTAATATTAAACTTTCAGCTAATTTTAAAGGACTGAACTGTCTTGCATATTTGGGATTATATAGCATAATGCTTTCTCATAATAATTTTAGTGTAAATAAGTTCAAATTACAATGTAATTATACACTATGAAATTTTTCTGTGTTTATGAAATAGTTAAAAGTAGAAATTTTCTAATACAAGTATACTATGTATTAGGTCAAAATTGCAGTACTGCCTGACATTTTGACTTATTTTGTATTTTTAAAACCTGGTTGAATTGTTACTTCCTCTGTGATGACATTAACCCTTTGAAAAAAACTTACTTTTATTCTCATTAGTTTTCAAAGGCAGGTAACAGAGTAGACATTATAATGAAGACCTGTACTTAGTCCTTCCTCTGCTGATTTCTTTCTTTTCAATGCAGGCTTATTTAGTGATTTTAAAATTATCTTCATTAAGGTATAATTTACAACCCATTAAATTCACCCACTGTATGTGTGCAATTCAGTGATTTTTAGTAAATTTATAGAATTATGAAACTGTCACCACAATTCCGTTTTTGAATATTTCCATTAGCTCAAAAAGTTTCCTCTTACCCATTTGCTCCCACCTTCAGGCCCAGGTGACTATTGATTTGCTTTCTATCTGTATAGATTTTCTCTTTCTGGACACTGTGTGTAAATGAAAGTATACAGTATGTAACCTCACGTGTCAGATTTCTTTCAACTTAGCATAATGTTTTTAGGTTCATTCGTGTTATAGCTTCTATCTATTTCATTGCTTCCTGTTGCTAAATAAATAGAATATCATTATATTCTATTGACTGGATAGGTCACATTTTGTTTACCCACTATTGGCAGACATTGGAATTGTTTCTACTTTTTGGCTGTTATGAATAATACTGCTGTGAACATTTGTGTGTAAGTCTTATATGGACATATGTTTTCATTTCTCTTGGGCAAATGAATTAATGGGTCCTATGGTAACTATTTTTAACTTTTTAAGGAGCTATAATCTGTTTTCCAAAGTGGCTGAACCATTTTACATTCCTACTACCTGTCTATGAGCGTTCCAGTTTCTCATAATCCTTATAAACACCTGTCCATCTTTTTATTATAGCAATCCTAGTGGATGTGTAGTGACAGCTCATTGTGATTTGATTTGCATTTCTTTGATGGCTAATAGTATTAACTTTTCATGTGCATGTTGAGCATTTGTATATCTTCTTTGGGAAAATGTCTATGCAAATATTTTCCCATTTTTGATTGGATTCTCATTGAGTTGCAAGAGTTCCTTATACACTAGATACAATAGATAGAATACTTCATCAGATATGCAATTTTTAAATATTTTCTCCCACTCTCTGGCTTTTCTTTTCATTTTCTGAATGGCATTTAAAATGCAACAGTTTTGAACTTTAATGAAGTCCAATTTATCAGGTTTTTTTTCTTTCATGGGTCAAGATTTTAGTTATGATAAAATATTTTTGCCTCTCCCAAATTTATGAAGATCTTCTCCTATGTTTTCTTACAAAGTTTTTATACTTTTATCATTTACATATATGTCTGTGATCTATTTCTTGACTTAATTTGTATTTATGGTGTGAAGAAGGAACTACATAGTTTCTTGTTTGTTTTCCTGTATGGATATCCTTCCTCTCCTGTAGGACATGAGTTTTCTCATTTGTACAGAGTAACACCTGCTCTCATTCCCATATTGAGGTTTCAAGGATCAGTTGAAATAATGTATGTGTTGTAAACTTTAACAGCCCATATACATGTGAGGTAGTATTGTTATTATAAGGGAGTTATAAAATATTAAGATTAACTGCCTTGCTTAAAGTCACATAGTCATTATTTGAGTCCATGTTAATATCTAGGGATCCTGACTCTACTCTGGGATCACCTGCTATTTCATATACAAATTCTGCAAATCACAGCAGGTGGTGGAACAATAAAGCAAGTGATAACCTGATACAAACTAACCTCAACTTTGAGAAACCTAGAATTGTCCTTGGAGCTAATGTAACTATTCAAGTGTGAATAAATAAACAAAAAACTTTAACATTAAATATTTTGTTGTTTTTTTTTTTTTTGCTTTCTTTTGGGAAGAAAAAATTCAATTTGTAAGTTATGGGCGTCATCTGGACCATCCAATGTGTTTGTCATAGGAAATAATACAAACTAAAATTGAATTATACTACAAGTCCAAATTGATCTATTTCCATAGTCTGTTTATATGGCAAATAATTCTGTAAGCATTTCCTTTTTTCCACTTCTGTTCTAATATTGATATATTACTGTTCCTTCTTCTGGCTCTTGGGTTACCGGTTAGAAAACTTGTTTTTCTTTTTAACGATTCTCCCACCCATTATTGTTAATCCCCTGAAACATGATTGCATAGTTAGCATTTTTTAATGCAGAGATTAATTTAATAACCCTCTTGACTATATTAGTATATGTTACTTTCTCCTGTTTGACTGAATGTGCTATGCATCTCTTTTTTTCTTTATTTTATTTTATATATATTTTTACATCATTTTTCATCTTTGCACAATGTATACATTTTCATCTTGGTTATAGTCCCCATATAATTCCCACCCACCCTGTTTTGATCCTGTTCCCTTCTCCCCCCCACCCCCCGTAGTGTGTCTCTGGTTTATAGTTGCTTGTTGATTTTGATTTTCACTTTATTATAATTAGTCTTTTTCCTGGTCCCTTATCTAGGTTTTTCTAAATTCCTACTATGAGTGAGCCCATCCGGTATTTTTTCTTTTTCTTTCTATGCATCTCTTTTATTTAAATGTTTGGAGAAAATTCTGACCTTGCTTGACTTTTCTAATGACCAGCCACTCATCCCTTATTTATTTAATAGATAGCCTTTATCAAGTGATTCCATGCAATGGCAAAATGACTATTCTATAGCTATAAAAACATGCCTCACTCTATCGTGATTTATTTTTTTTTTTATTTTATGCAAGCACTGGGTACAGTCAGAAGCACGGGAGGGTGAGAGAATTCACCAGAGCCAGAGCAGGCAACAGAACAGGCAGAATGATGAAATACACTGCTGAGGGGTGCAGCAGGCGAGGCAGGAGAGGTCTGTGCGCCATGTGTAACCCTTGCTGGTGGCTGGGGATTGAACCTGCACTGCAGAGGCTAAGGGCAACCTCGCAGCCCAGCTCTCAACCACTGTGCCACCAGGGGAGGCCCTATCATGTTTTACATTTTACAGAACATTCTTACATCCATTATTTCATGAGTCTTTACCCCCACCTTTACCACATATACACACAAATACACGCACACACACATGCACACACACACACACACAAAGCAATTCTGTTAGGTAGACAGTATGCAATGCTGGTATTATTTTCCTTGATTTACAAGTGGGAAATTTTTTTTAATAATAAATTTTATTTTTATATTCCCATACAATTGCAACCCCCTTATTTTGACCCAATCCCTCCCCTCCCGCCCCCCCCACCCCCCATAGAGTGTCTCTGGTTCATAGTTTTTTGTTGATTTTGATTTTCACTTTCTTATAGTTATTCATTTTCCTGGTCCCTTATTTAAGTTTTCTAGATTCCTGCTATGAGTGAGACCATCCGGTATTTTTCTTTTTCTTTCTGGCTTATTTCGCTGAGCATGATCCCTTCCAGCGCCATCCATGTTGCTGCAAATTGCATGTGTTTATCTTTTTTGAATGCTGAGTAATATTCCATGGTGTATATGTACCACATCTTCTTGATCCAGTCATCTATTTTTGGGCATTTGGATTGTTTCCAAAGCTTAGCTATTGTAAATAGTGCTGCTATAAACATAGGTGTGCAGGTGCTCTTTGGAATTGATGTTTCTGTGTCCTTTGGGTAAATACCTAGGAGTGGAATTGCTGGATCATGTGGAAGCTCTATGTTTAGTAGGTCCAGAAATCTCAAGTGGGAAAATTTTTAAGATTAAAAAAGTCTACTTAACCAATTTGTCTGGGTTTATATGATTAATGAATAGAAAGTCAGGAATAGAACCCAGGTCTTCTGACCTCAATTCCAGGGCTCTTTCTACCAGAACATACATCTTTACCTGCTCTTGCTAGTACATTTCAATTCAGAGGAAAGGCTTAAGTTGGTATTCAGAAGCTACTGCCAGTAAAAAAGTGGAAGGATTATTTACATGCTTGAGCAGGCAAACCTATATAATCTACAGTAGGTTCATATTCAAGATTATTTTTAAGAGAAAATGGATTGCCCTGGTTATTTGTCTTAATGAACATTTTATTTTTAAATAGCACACATGTAGTTGTTCAAAATAACACTAGAGATCCTATGTACCCTTTACCTAGTTTCCCACAGTGGTACAATCTTACAAAACTATAATAAAATATAATAGTCAGGTGTTGACATGATTTCAGTATAGACAGAATTTTCCTATCACCATAAAAATTCCTCATGCTGTCCTTTTATTGTCCCCACACACTTCTCCCACTGTCAATCCCTCCTTAAACCCTGGAAACCACTAATCTATTACTGATTTCTATAATTTTTGTGATTTCAATAATTTTGTATATATCAAGCAGTGTATAACTTTTGAGACTTGAAATCATTCAATATTCAACCTTTTGTAATTGGATTCTTTTAATCATCTAAATTCTCTGGAGAGTCATCAAGTTATTGCATGTATCAGTGTTTCATTCCTTTTTATTGTTGAGTAGTATTCCATGGGCTGTAGTACCACAGTTTGCTTTACCATTCACCTATTGAATGACATCTAGCTTATTTCCAGCTTTTGGCCATTTTGAATAAAGCTACTATAAATATTTGCGTACAAGATTTTATATAAACTTCAGTCTTCTTCATTTTCCTGGGATAAGTACTGAAGAAGTCAATTCCTGGCTAATACAGTAATTGCATGTTTAGTTTTTGAAGAAACTGCTAAACTGTTTTCCAGAGTGGCTGTAACATTTTACATTTCTTGCCAGCAATGTATTTGGTATCCCTACATCCTTATG